ATAATACTGTAGGGAGTTCGATTCTTACTGCGGTGTCGCTCGCTTATTGCCTCGTACCAAAGAATTCTAAATTAGTAAATGTTCTTTTATTTTATTGGATTATTACTAGTGTGGGTATTGTCAGTTGTTTATTGAAGAAATGAAGAATCCCTGAGGACACGATAAGAAAAATTGTTTTTTATAAAGTTCACTGATTTTTCTTTATCTGTGAGAAAAAGAATACGTCATCTCTTGATTATTTTAAATGCGATCCCAATCATATGACAATTTTTTGTTTTTTGTTTCTTTTTCTTTCTCTTTCTTTCAGTGCCGAATGCATCGCGTTTATCGGCGTGAAAAATAAAATTGGCAGGCTGAGTTCAAATTCCTGCCAAGCCCGTTCTTGTTCACTTTCAACAGCTGCTCATAAGAAAGACATGGGACAGTCTCTTCTCTCACCAGCTATGTATAAAATAATAAATCTAACTTGTCTCTGTAAGCCTTCGTATGTCGACAAGTCTAGGAAAATTATAACTTCGAATTCAAAATCGTAGAGAAAAAAAGCAACATTACCTTTCCTAAGAACAGTTAAGGCAATTAACAATTATTAAAGAAAAAGGAAGATGTCGAGAGCCATGATTACTTACATGCTGAAAGTAGCTTGGATTTTTAAAAATGACGAATGAATTTTACATTATTACCCACAAAGTTCGTATTGAACATTTCTCCAACGGACCAGTTCATGATAATATACTTTCACCTTATGTCGCAAATTGCTACAAAGCATCAACCTGAAAATACGTGTCATGTGCTTAAATAGCCTCCTCAGATCGAGTCTTTCATGTGGATGACATGCATGTCGTGAAACCCGTTCAGAAATATCTAAACTGTCAGCTGTATACAACCGCTTTCACCTATCAATGATTAAAAATCGTTTTGAGCGAGTGAAACCCGATGATCTTGGAGATGACCATATTTATTGGAACCTTGAGATCTGGCGCTAAAGAATCAAGAATAAAGAACTGTACCAAATCGCAGAAACCATATCACTTGAGGACTTTTAACAGCAAAAACAACCACACTGGATATCATGTAACTCTAAGAGAAAATAATGACATAATCAAGATGTTAGCCTTCCACACTACTTCAAATAAAAGGCTAGGAAGAAAACTCTCACTAGTACTGGAAAGAGCGATAGCAGCTACTGGACTTGAGAAATCTATTTTCCAGAAAAAAAATTGTTTTAAGATAAAAATCTTATAAATTCTAACGGACAGTAGTATTGGCTGCCCGGTCAATGAATACCGAATATCTCCTTATAAGAAAATGGCAAATATTACTACAGTGTAACCCGGATATAAGAGAGTTGTCGGGACCGGAGAAGAAGTATCTTATATCCGGGTTTTTCTTATATCCGGGTTTGGTCTATTTTATATACATTAACACAGGCTCTAATTTGGGACCAGATAAAATCTCTCTTATATCCGGGTTTCTCTTATATCCGGGTCTCTTATATCCGGTTTACACTGTATTACCATAAGATTTTATTTTATTCTCTATGTTTGTGTTGCCTACGAGTATTTATTTAATATGATGGTTTTTTGTCATTACATTCACTTAAGTGCTAATACCCTTGGAAAAGATATGAATTGCATCTCTTCTCCACCCCCCCACACACACAAGCTGTGGGTAAATATCTGGATTCTATAGCCTCGGGTGGCATCAGGAGAAGGAAAATTTGGAATTCAAACAAGCCTGGAGGTGGTTGGGCTCCGTAAGGCTATCCTGCCCAGAAAACACCTGTGACGTCACCCCGTGGCCTCTCTGCCCTCGTCTCCGTGCTATCCTGTGACGACCAACTGACTTGATATTGGTCGCGGCACCAAATGTGACGTTCTAACCCTTGGCTGATTCGGATGGGAATCTGGTTAGATTCGGTATCAGCTTTGTCGTTCCCAGCTCGCCTCCAACGCCTGGTTACCGAAGTAACTGCTTTGGTTTCTAGTCTAACCTACCCACGTTGTGACTTGATCTTAGGTAGACGAAATCAATCAGTCGCCGGGCCGCAATGCAAGCCGAGTCTGAGCAAAGTTAACACTGCACAAGTATATGTAAAAGAAAATAAAGTAACAACTCGAAAAGTTCAAATGTGCTAAAAAAAGAATAACAATATTTTATATCTGGTTTCAGAATACAGGACTGCATCTTTCTCCCAAACCGCTAATATGGATTCGTGACACTGTGTTTGTTAGGCGAGTCTTAACATCTTAAATTGTTTTTCAAGAAACTGTTTTTTTGGTGTCTTCAGGCGATATTCGTAAAACTTGTTTTGGTGGTGTGAGTCTAAGTCGGTCTTCAAAAATAAATTGTTTTTGGTTAGAAGTCTAAGTCGGAATACGTGGATCTTCAGTCAGCTTCCTGCGAGGCGGGTCTCAGAGCTCACAGCTCAACTGCAACTAACTTCTATCTGACTCAACTTCCAACTCAACTCTGTGTTACTGTTGCCACTCGCTGCGACTCTGCTTATATGGACGCCGACCAAACCCGGGGTGGGTCTGTCGGGGTTTGAGGTTCCTTGATAATTCTAAATCCACAATAAGGATTTTCTTTGTTTTCGGACAGGAAAATTTATTACTTTCCATTTTTGGAAGTCCATTACTTTCTACTTTAAGGGAATCGTCCTCCCAAATTCTTCCTTTCGCATATTGGTATCTCATACCAATCCCCTCAGAGGGCGTCAACAGGTTTCCCCTCTTTCTCATAGTTTACCTTCGCCTACCGCTCACGCTACCTTTCAGCCAATGAACGTTCAGCAGCGTGGGTGTTTGCCATTATCGCTGAAAGGAAAGAGAAAAAAAAATTATCTTCCTTTTTTTTTTCTTTCTCTCTCTTCCCCGAGCAGACCTCCCACGACACGTGGTGCGGTCCCTAATCTCTATCTTAACCGAATGTCCCCTGGACTTTATCAATCGAGATTTTCGCCAGCGTAAAGTGGGTGGTTGACTGGACGCATTGCTAATTATCTCCTCCGGTATCAAACTTTTATCATGTTCAGGTTTGGACAATAAAACAGGTGGTCTCTTTCCAAAAACAATGACATCTCCGAAAGATAGTTAATGGTTTATCTCTCTCTCTCTCTCTCTCTCTCTCTCTCTCTCTCTCTCTCTCTCTCTCTCTCTCTTGGGTGGCCTGATTAACATTATCTCTTAGCATTCTGTCTTGTAGGCCACTTGACCAATTTGAAATTTTCATTATTGCCATGGGCAGATTGCTATCTTCTTTCGCCGCGTCATAACATAAATTAATTCCACAGATCCGAGATATATATATATATATAATAAGTTACTCCAAAATCCGCATGAGGATGAAATGGAACTAATGACTTTAATTTAATTACAAAATTAAATTCGAGGCTTTTAGCTTCCATTTTTTGAAACGCGGTTAGAACTGTGTAGCGAAAAAAGCATATTATAAATCAATCAATTTATAATATATATATATATATATATATATATATATATATATATATATTATAAATAATGTTACTCTTTTGGAAAAACCTTAGGTATTTTGTCTTGTAATTGAAGAAACCAATGACCAAAGGAAAATAAGGAATAAAAAAAGAAGGAACCAAGACCATGAAATTGAGGCGAAAACAATCGTCCAGAATTCAAGCTCAGAGTTCAAAGAAAAAAAACTCCAAAACGAGTAAAGCAAAAGTAACTACGTAAATTGTTCAATACGCTAAGTAGAGCAAACCTAAATATGAACCTAAAGAGCCAGGTAAACCTCCTAGGTTTCACCTATATGGATCATCAGGGTCAATTGACGATCCGTATAGGTGAAACCTATGTAGGTTTACCTGTCTCTTTAGGTTCATATATATATATATATATATATATATATATATATATATATATATATATATATATGTGTGTGTGTGTGTATATATATATATATATATATATATATATAAAGTTTTTTCGGTAAGCTAACATTTACCCAGACGCCGTAGACGATCCGCACTTATACCAAAGTGCGTCAAATATTAAATAATTAATAGTAATATTGAATGGAAATAGGAGCAGCGGTTTAAAATGACATCAAATATAGTGAATTATACATTGATTGATAAGTGCAATTCCTTTTGGCTTATCACACTTGTTTGGTTGTTTCCTCAACAGCTAAGACACAGCAATACGCTGACACACATCACCTTAACACTGATTGCCGAACAACGAAGAATTCCGATAAGAAATAAATAATTCTGATCCGATAAAAGGCAATAAAAATGTCATGTATTCTGTTGAAGGGTCACATCATCGCCATTTCTGTTGTTGACGTTATTTATTGGCTTAATGGAAGTTGTTTCTCTCTTACAGATGGACAGTAAAGCACAAAATTCTCAAATTATCTTATCGTTATAATAAACGCTTCTGGTCGTTTTCATATGTTTTAACATTTAAATTTAAAGATATCCTTACCGGCAAAAAAAAAGCAATCTAACCTAGGTAGTTTTTTTTTTTATTTTTTAATAACGTGTTAAAGAAAGCGGATACCAACATAAATAACCAACTTAAGAAACATCGGCAAAAACCTTGTCTAGTGTGACTTAATAAATCAAACATGGTACATAGCATTTTTTTCAGGACAGAAGCGATCATGATTCCCATTTCAAAGATTTCCGTTTCTTGGTTATCTGTGAATTGTCATGTATTATTGAGATTATTGATTAGTTTTCTCTGGTTTATTGCAAGTTATTTATTGATTAGTTTTCTCTGGTTTATTGCAAATTATTTAAAGCCAGAAATATTTTTAAATTGTAAAAATAATTTTGGGGCTAACAATGATTTAGTGATACAAGTCTTACTAATTAACCCATAGCTAGGGGTAGAAGAGATAAATTCATACCTTTCCCAATGATATTTTTGCGTAAATGAATATAACGAACCCAACGTGAATTGGAACTCCGATTAACAATTCCGAGCCATTATCCATTATACCACCGGCATCCGCCAAGCTAACAGCACCTGATATTCCAAAACGATCACCCATCTGGTTACTGACCAGGCTCGACATTGTTTAACTTCGGTGATCGTATGGCAACAGATGTTTTCAAAGTGTTGTGGCCGTAAGCGATATTATTGAGAAAAATAATGAAGTGCATTTCCGTTGCCTCCTCGCCGAGTTGGAATTCAGAGTGTTCTTTGCCCCTAGACTGGCTACCATCTAAGGCAAGAAAATAAAGTCTACACTGTTATTTAACCCATAGTTTGTACCTGAGAAAAGATGTTTTTTTTTCTATTATACGTGAAAGAACAACACAGAGTCAGTTTTGCAGCAATTACAATTTTATATCAATATCAAAACAATGGCCTTCTAAAAGCTGTACATGAGTGCATTTGTGTTAAATTTCAGCCAGTCAGTTATGTGCCATGCATGATACACGCTTAGGCGATCATGTATCTTTCGATACATGATTGACGAAGCCGATTTTTTTTTCCCACAGTAGGTTGCCATTTCTTTCTGCGGTAGACCAGTTGCCATCCAAGGCTACAGAACCCGGACTGTCCTACTAGAAGAAGAAGATTCATACCTTTCCCAAGTGTAATAGCACATAAGTGAATGTAATGGATCAACTGGAATTCTAACTCGGCTCCGGAGCCGTTCAATCTATTACTCCACCATGCCTACTCCGTGTTAAATTTAGCATTTCAAAATGGCAAAAAATTAACAAAGTGATAATTCATTTTAGTTTTCAGTTTTGATTTGATGTTTTTAATGCTATGTACCTTCAAAACGTAGGCGATCGAATAGAGTTGAATAGAGGGGTCTGGACTTTCGGTCACATTCTCGTGCACTGCAGTAATGTTTTCAACTGAACGGCGTAAACGAGCAAGCAATGGTGTTTTCACATCTGCCACCGACACAGTTTGTTTGAATTTACGAACAATTTTCCAATTGCTCTCTTGAAAACTTCAACACGTTGTTTGATTGTTAATCTTTCCATGGTTGAAATTGCCAAAGACTTAAGTTGTTAAATCTGAAAGAAAAAGAAAAAAAAAGCATTAGACGTTTAAACTTAATTCACATTTAAAATCAATCCAAGTTATTGAAACAGCATTTATATTTCAAAACGCCTCGTTCGTTACTTCCAATGTAAAATTTAGAAATTGTCCTGCAAGAATTCATTCGTCTAGAAATTTTGAAGAGACGAGTATTCATGATTAGGGAACGTAAGAAGACGCCATATATATTCAATTATTATTAATTCTGTATATAACGAAAGTTACATTGTATTTACCCGGCAACGTAACAGGAATTAACTTTCAGAATTCTTTGAACAGCCTTTAATCATACAGCCCAAATTAATAACAGGGAAGTACCATGTAAACGTTGATGTATCAGGGGTTATTTTACAAGAAAATAATGTTGTAAAAACTACTGAGAAGTAATACAGAGTGCAAAATCTATTTGGGTATCTCTTAGATTATGTATTGTGCATATTGGAGTCATCTCAGATCAATTTCTCTTAGAACAAAGGTTGCTTGTTGTCATTAAGTACTATTCATGATATTTACATAGTGTGTGTCATATTCTACAAGTACAATGAATAAAAAATATCAGTCAATAATCAAAATGCTCACGCATAGGATCGAACAACTATCCAGCTTTTTACCAGGATATTTTAAATATCAAGTTTTAAACATCTGTCTATATTTCTGAGATGAGGTATTGTAACTATTTACAATACTGACATTGTGAGGACTGTTGTCCTCATATTTATTGTCATATTCACGAAATTTCGAGCGTTGTACGATGTGTTTTTCTTCAGGTGATATAACATGGAATTTCCAAATCCAAAAAAATCATTCACTGATGTCCCCAATGACACATGGACCAGTGGATAAATGCGACGTTTGAAGTAGTGCAACGACTTGACACATAGAGTTGTGAGTTCAATACCTGTCACAGATACCAAAGGGAAATAACTGAAACCGAAATATCCAGAAAAGCCATGACAGATGGAACTAGATCAAGCTACCTCAGTGGACTAAATAAATCGGTTCGAAATTCCAACGCATATTACCTGAAGAAAGCCGGAGCGTATAACGACTGAAACGTTATGAATATGACAATAAAGACGAGCACAGCAGTCTGAACAATGTAATAGTGTACATAAAATCTTAGATTGGATAATCCGTTAATCATGTATTATAAAGCTATTGTTGATGGTCAAGTGGTTAAATCTGAAGATTGGATAATCCATTAATCATGTATTATAAAGCTATTGTTGATGGTCAAGTGGTTAAATCTGAAGATTGGATAATCCATTAATCATGTATTATAAAGCTATTGTTGATGGTCAAGTGGTTAAATCTGAAGATTGATAATCCATTAATCATGTATTATAAAGCTATTGTTGATGGTCAAGTGGTTAAATCTGAAGATTGGATAATCCATTAATCATGTATTATAAAGCTATTGTTGATGGTCAAGTGGTTAAATCTGAAGATTGGATAATCCATTAATCATGTATTATAAAGCTATTGTTGATGGTCAAGTGGTTAAATCTGAAGATTGGATAATCCATTAATCATGTATTATAAAGCTATTGTTGATGGTCAAGTGGTTAAATCTGAAGATTGGATAATCCATTAATCATGTATTATAAAGCTATTGTTGATGGTCAAGTGGTTAAATCTGAAGATTGGATAATCCATTAATCATGTATTATAAAGCTATTGTTGATGGTCAAGTGGTTAAATCTGAAGATTGGATAATCCATTAATCATGTATTATAAAGCTATTGTTGATGGTCAAGTGGTTAGAAAGGTTGATTTATGACATCTTGATAATATGGGACTGAGAAAATGATCTCAGCGGGCGGTGGTGCTGGGTGAGAATTGACTGAAAACCATACCAACGGTTGACCTTAAACATTAAAGTTTGTGATTGAAATTAGGTCGACGTCGATGGTCATACTGTTCTTGTTCAAAGTGTTGTTCACGCCAGTTTATACGTTCTCTCCCAGAATTTGTAATTCAGGCCTGCTCTGTATAGTTAAAGTATAAACCCCAGCTTTACTCTCTGGATGTGGAAGAAACACGAGTTCGCCTGAACAGGCATCTACAAACGCGATTAGCTGGACATCCTAGCAGATAGCCATGCTAGGAAACAAGTGGCCAACCATACTGATAAAGCTGTTTTCTTTTTATGTTAAATAGATCAGGATTATCAATGTCGGTCCAATACCTAAAATGCCTTCAATCTATTCATCAGTATACTTTAAGAGCGGATTATAACATACGCACTTAGACATTTCAACGTGGTGTAATGGTTAGTAACCTTGTTTCGCTAAATCAGTTATAACTTAGTAGTAAATTCGATCCTCACTGTATATCCAATAATTTCGGCTTTATTCCACATCTAAGTTACGCTTAGTAAATCACTGTAACGTTATATACTTTTCTCATAGATTATCGCATTTTATCCCTTAAAATATGCACAAGTGCTTTTCACCAAGAAAAAACATCGAATAACATAACTGTAAAATTCAACTGACTTATAAATTCGTTTTATGTAACTTTTAAAAAAGTTAGTTTTGTTCTATCTTATTTTAGTTCTTGTCACAAATAGATCTTGGCTTTTGCTTGACACGGACAGTATTGAGTTAGCCTTGTTGACATTTTAATACTGCAATCATAAAAGAGACACTAATAAAATAAAGAGAGATAAAATAGATATTTACAAAACTCAATAATGTCAGAGGTTTTAAATAAGACTTTTCAAAGTAAAATAATCATTTTGGTCGCTTTTTTGAGAATAAGGAAAACTTTAACCTCGCAGTTTTAAAAGCTTGCTATTTGTGGCAAAATCACCTTCAACAAGACACATTGCTTGTTTCGAAGAGGGAATGCTCTTTAAAAAATTTAATTTTTGTCTTTACTTAACCTGATTTTCACATTAGGGAAAAAACAACTCAAGTTTGATTTGCTTTGTGTAGACTGAGACTCTGCTCGATTAAAAGAAAAATCAAGCTAATCCCTGAACGAATTATGTCAAAATATTCATTCTATGAATATACTTACTGATTTTTTTTTCGAACGTTGTCCAACTATTCTTGAGTGAAATTATTCTTATAGAAAAGAAAATTGCCAACTCCTACTGAGACAGGACCAATTATAAGTTATCTCCCTTAGCTGTGTTGCAAGAGAAAACAATGCAACTAGAAAATAACTATATACAGCATAATGTAAAATTGAATTGAATGGTCTTTGTTCGGATTTCATATAATTGACTCATTGGATCTACGTAATAACAGGGATCAACCTGAAAATAACTCTGCAGGTTTTGTCGCCATTTATTTTTCTTCTCCTTTTCCCTTGTCTTGTATTTATAGGGTTTCCCTAATAACTTTGCCTTTTCCCATATTTTATTAACGTTCCTAAATCCTTTGCTTTTCTATATCGAACGCCTCTCAATTTTTAGTAGCTTTTTAGTAAAGCAAACAAAAAACAAAGAAGAAAATATATTACTACGTGAAAAAGGCAGTGATAAAACATTGTCGTTATTCTAGGGACTAATTTGGACGCGTGGAAAGTGGTTCGACCTTTAGTGATTTCGATCATAAGACACTGGTTCGAATTTCCCCAGGGTCGCTTTGTCAAAGTGGTGACTTTGATAACTACAGTCTGGAGAGATTATCCCAAAGTACGGTATCTAAAATATATACCACGCGTTGGCACAAGCCCTGCCAGTGAAACTGGGTAGACAAAACAGTTTGAAAGTTGTAATTACGCGAGTGACTAGTGATCGTGAGCGAGGGTTTAAGTATACTGGCCCTCTTCAAAATAATGGTCCCGCCAGATTATATGTTCTTTCGCAGAAGCACTAGCTGAGGTCCGTCTCAGCATAATTGTTTATATGTTCTTTCGCAGAAGCACTAGCTGAGGTCCGTCTCAGCATAGTTGTTTATATGTTCTTTTCAGAAGCACTAGCTGAGGTCCGTCTCAGCATAGTTGTTTATATGTTCTTTCGCAGAAGCACTAGCTGAGGTCCGTCTCAGCATAGTTGTTTTATGTTGTTTTTCGCAGAAGCACTAGCTGAGGTCCGTCTCAGCATAGTTGTTTAT